CCTGTGCCTGTGCCTGTGCCTGTGCCTGTGCCTGTTCCTATGCCTATGCCTGTGCCTGTGCCTGTGCCTGTGCCTGTGCCTGTGCCTGTGCCTGTGCCTGTGCCTGTGCCTTAGTTCTTTGCACAGTTGTGCGCTCGTTACATATCTCTCATTTTTACAGGCTTTTATTTGCTGATTCTTCTAGTCCACCGACCCACGCATGGCACCTTTTCACGCCTACGTGTATTTTATGAAGTCGAATCCTGATTTCCCATGTGAATGCCGTTCAACTGCTGTCGCGCTGTATCAGATATGACGAAACTTAAACGTTCGAGTCTTTTTCCCAGCTCGCAATAAATTCGTTTCATCGTCTTTTTGCTGTTACAGATATGAAGTACGCTTTCTGGGCACACGTGGGCTGTCCGCAGGCGTGGCCACGGGGTATACCGTTGGGAGGTTACCCAGCCTCAATACGATTGTCAGTACGTCCCTTTACGCGGCCCAGTGATACAGAAACTATCAACCCAGACAGAAGTTCTACGCAAACTTCAGGCTCGAATAGTCCAGTGCAAACCAATACTGTCGGGCACACAGGGGTAGACGCAGAGGCCGATACAGAGCGATTCGATAGATTATGTGCGCTATTACAAGAGGAGCTACAGCACGATATCGACCGGCTGGTGCATAGACCTGTGGCCGACTCGTAATGGCGTTCAGGATGCTTAGTTAGATTGAGAGGGTACCGTGATTGTGTACCAAATACGGAGATGCTTGGAAGTAGACAAGTATACATTTAGATATAAATTACCTGGAAAACACGCCGTCCTTCGTACATCAGATATTTAAAATATTTTATCTGGTTCAAATGTTTGCACCAGTTTAGTTGCTATCATTTGTGTAAGAATGGAATCATGGTCGACTTTCGAAAATGCCCAATTTTGGTTGGGTTGTAAGCAGTTGTGGTTTGAAGTCGGTACATGTATATCCATGGCTCGCAGTCGGAGTTGATAGGTCTTCTGAGCCTTCAGGACTCCACTCTAGTTCGTTTGACACACCCACGGCCTGAACTGTCCATCTGGCTGTGTTTATCTCTATCGTATCACTCTTCACTTCTCAGTCATGTACACACTAGTTTTGTGTATCATAAATTCACATTGCATACATGTGATGAGCTTTCTATGCACATACTAATGTACATTCAAGTTGATGTATATTTGAGTAGCCTACCTATCATATTACTACTGTTACTTCCTTGAGTATGTTTATAATAGATTTGATTCATTTTTTTTTCAGCTATATCAACTAATTTAAGCGCAAAACAATATCGCCCTGATTATCCGATCATAAATAGTAAGTATCTCGCTGCATGCAAACGTACTGTCTTCAAAAACTACTCCCATGCCTTAATTAGGTTTAATATTACATTTATGACACTATAAATTATTAAGCATCCCTCTCGTCCTCCGAGTCGTTGCCGTTGTCAATGTCTTCGATGTGTGGACAGGGGAACCGTAAGATGGCCGCAACTCCAGTCAGTAGCTTCAGTTCTGAGTATAATGGTTTTTAGATAATTTGTAGAGTGTAAGAGTACACAGCAGTAGATGACACATTAGAGATACGCGGTGTGGTTGAATTTCAAAATACAAATCGGCGACTATCGGATGAAAGGCGCGCTATGCTCTTGCAAAGCTAGAAGGAGTTATTACAGGTACCAGGTTCGTGCTATTGCCTATTTTAAGCACAGACAAACATATGCATACTACGTATTGAGTACACGCTTGGAGACAATGAGATGTTAGGAAGTGTAATACGTTGCCTTTACCACGTGTCAGTGGACACATTGGTGTACTTTTTTTGCACTCGGGTAGCTCTACAGCACCCGCCTTTAACAGAACAAGGCACAACGCCAATGCAGGGAATATCCGACCGCAAAATCTAAGAATCGGATTAACACGAAGCACTGGTAGGAAAAATAGATATGCGCACTTGCAAATGCGCCGCTTGGCTCGCAGGCCTTTTCTCGTGCGGGAAAGGTACTAGAAGCTTAACATCAGAGGGTTATCCATGCTAGACAAAGTGTATGTGCTCAGAAGTCCACAACGCCTAGAATTAGTCAATAAGCCCCACGTTCACCCGCACAGTGCTCAAACTGCTACGAAAGAACCGCAAATGATTTCAGAATCCCTCATACGCTCTCCTGTGCCGTGCATGCTAGAAAACACAAGGACTTCTCCGCCATTGTCCTTGACTGCGTCCACCAGCTGCACGTACTTTTTCCTCTCCTCGACATTCTGCGACCTTCGGGTGTTTAAACACGTCCAGAATGGGTGCAATCTAATGAGAACAGCTTGCCTCGGTGACAACGACTATGTGTACGTCGTACGTAATTCTACATTGAGAAAAGAGTTTCCGTGAAGTGATCTCGACTCGGATAGCTACTAATTAGCTTCGAATGGTATAATTGGCTCAGCGCGCTTAGCGATCACGAAAGTCCGAACAAAAATATACGCATTAATATCCGTATTCACCCTTCTTGTGCACAACCAATATTTAACATAGGAATACATACTGCTTACTCATAAAATACGCAAGTTTAACTTGACCCCTGGAACATGAAGATGGCGAATTTGCAGCCGACCTCTGGCGTGAAAAGATTTTGGAAGAATGTCTTGCCCATCTTACTATCCACACATACCTGAACAGCGAATCTAGTATCATCAACGTGGCCACTGCTTGCTCCTCATTGGCTGCATGTACGTGACTGAACCCGTAGAATGCTCTATCGGGTTGGTCGTTCAAACACTTGTAGAACTGATTCAATATTGTCACTTCTGCCTGTGCCTGGAGAATTTCATTGCGGTTATGTATGGCTTGAGCACTGTACGACAAGTTACCAGCATGATCCCTCATTGTCTTATCTGCGAAGTCAATAGTGCAAAGATTCTGATACTTCTAAGAGCTCCTCAACCCGAATTTCATCAATCATTCTTTGAAATCTCGCATCGATTCTGCGGGATTATGGTGTTCCCGCTCCTCTCCTATACGTTGACCTACCCCGAACTATGTTATGGGATCTGAGAATCTTTTGTTGTATTTAGTTAAATTTTGCCGACTATCTCCTCAACAAGCTGCACTTTATACAGCAGTGCAACGGGGGATTTTTACTTTCCTACATATTCGAAATCACAATGTATATGTGTGAAATTCGCTGGTATTCATTATACCTGTACAACACAGAGTTGCTTTCCTATTTAAAATTATAGTATATATATGTAGAAAATCTGGCATCCCCTGCACCACCTTCCTAAGAAATAGGTGGAAAGAAAACCTTTGAAGCCTGCTATTCCAAGTAGCCATCATACAATGTCAGAAAAAGCGACACGAATAGGGTATACACCGGCCCAAAGGGTTCAGCACATACACTGAATGGGTCGGGTACAGAACAAGTACTCGTCACAGGCTAGTTTATGCACGATCCCCAACACGTATGACGTATAGACAAAGCGCACTCAAAATTTTACAGCTTCAATCACCCACAACTGTAAAACAATTGCAATAGATGATTTCAACCACTAATAGTTTCTTCAATACATCACGATTCAAACTCAGAATGCCTACCTTTGTATCCCGTAGTTTAAGTACCACTGCGGGATCTTGCATGGCTTCCTGGAGTGCGTGTTTGTGACCGGATGCCGAATGCGCAAGCATGAACTTCTGCTTGTTCTCACTCAGGACCTTGAGCTCCCTCTTTACCGTTTGTTCCTGTGATAGATCGGAATTTGAGTTGGTTTGTCATCACGTGTGTTCTACATACATCTTTGAGATATTCAATGCAGCACACCATCTAGGTGCTTGCATACAAGCAGAGTGCTATGTGGCATGTGCATCGGTAGCAACGTGCACAATCATCACCGAAATGCCATCGAGAAAGTCGTTCATATTCGCACTACCTCTAAGTTAAAGATACGCGCGACTCGCATGTGTCGTCTAAAAGAAATTGACACATAATTTTGTTGTCTTGAATCTATACATGGTTGAAATTCCACGAACCTTTATGTAGTTGAGTAGTACTTCATTAAGGAAGCCGGCGCTCGCCAGTACGACACACTTGATCACCGAAAAGTCGAAGTGCTGCAGTATAGACTGCAAGATCTGTTCAAAGAATTTCCTTAAGCCCTTATCGTGTTGATCGATTCCTGAAAGCCAGTTGTTTCGCATACTAATCAGATATAGTATATATATATATATAAATATATATAAATATAAATATAAATATAAATATATATATATATATATATATATATATATATATANAGACGACACGACGAGGTAGGTAGG